TTTTTACCAGTACATACAAAAAAAGTACAAGAATACAAAAACAGAACAATAAAGCAACAACTACAATGCAATAATAATAATACCAAGACAATACTAATACCAAGAGTAGCAGCAACAGTAGCAATAAGTATACTGTATGCATGTCATGTATAGTGCATCAAAGTATTATGTATGCATGCATTCAATCAAAAGTCAATGGCAATGTATTGTTATTTATATTTTCTAAGGTATCTGTCCACATCAGATTAATAATAATAATAATAGTAACAATAATCAATGTAATAGTCAATGTGCATGATTAAGGCAAAATGCATAAAAATAAATCATTTTTAATACTTATCACGAGCTTCAGGTGACAAAAGGAACTTGTTGATCTTAGCTTCTGCTTTTCCAAGCTGATTAGGGAAATCTTGACAGACTTTTAGAATCTTAGCCCAAGTGACGTCATTATTGGAGTCACTCCACCTCTGGAACACTTGAATGAGATTGAGTATGGTTAGATGAGGAAGAGGAGTGAGGTCAGTCACATTGACAGACAATCCAATGCCAATTATCATATAATGGGCAGCAGAATCAATGAACAACTTCATGAGATCATCTGTTCCTGGCTTCTTGACTAATAGGAGGCCTGTGTAAAAGTATAATAATAATAATAATAATAATAATAATAATAATAACAATAGTTTCTTACTTTCATCTGGTGACTGATTATTATTATGTTTCATTTGTGTTCCATTGTCATTCTCAACAGGTCCTATACACAAGTGATAAATTATAAATAATAATTATTAGTATACACATACCTGATTCAAACCAGTACCAATGATCACTACTGATAGTAGCTGACACTGGACAAATTGTACAATTGACAATATTACCATCTTCCCTGGGTCTAACAATACAGTAGCAGCTACTCCTCTTTGAAGGGCAAGCAAATGCATTGACGTAATTATGCTTGAGGTGCATGGCATCACTGCTATTATCAATAGCTTTTGTGAGTAGCTTACGTACTAATGGACAGTGCTGGGTAGGACCAGTGAAGTACACTTCAATATGAGTATAACAATTGATGAGGTGAAGTGTGTCCTCCTTCCCTTTGAAGACTACCTTGAGGGACATGGCATCTCGAAATTTGTAATACTCTGGCGTTGAAGGAGGGATTTCAGTAACATATTCTTTCAGGTTGAGTAGGTGTACGATGGTTAAAGGGAACAATCCTGTAGGAACTGGTAGGATCTCTTTATTCTTCTCTTCTCTCCAGACTATGAGAAGTGGCTTAGCGTTAGCCTCCTTAATTGAAACTAGGTCATTGTATGAAGGAAGAGCATAAGGAATGAAGTAGTGTCCCTTTGGTTCATCTTCTAGTTTTGTGATGATGTTAAGATGAAGAAGGAGTCTGATTAGGTCACACAACTGGAACTCTGGCAGGGAAAATACGACAGACTTTGACTTTAAACACTCAAAAATATCTTCATTGAAGAATCCTTCCTTGAGATTATTTGTGATTTTTAGAGGAAGAGGTTCGTCAGTAATTAATGCTATGGCATCAATTTTAGTAACGTATGTGAGAGCTAATAATTGTGAGAGAATCTCAAGGATTGGCTTAGAATCAATAAAGAAAACATTTATAACTTTTGGATAATACAACATGAGACTCACATCATGGAAATATCTCAAAGCTTGTTTAGTATCTTCCTCATTCATCCCGTATCTTTCTCCAATAGATAAAGCTTCCTTAACTGATACAATACTCTGCTTATCGGGCAAAGACAGCTCAAAAACAAACCATCGAATTGGTATTTTAATTTTGAGTGAAGCGTCAGAGCCACGATACCATATTGCCTTGCAAATCTTTTCACTGTATTTTGCTCTTTCTTCTGATGCAGCAACTGCATTGACAGGAAATATGATAGAATCATCATCAGATTGATGAATAACGCAATT